ATAAATCTGGACACACCATCTTTAATAACTGTAACACTCACTGCGAGGGTCCACGGCTTCATTTTTGAAGTCAGCGAGACCAAGAACCCACCAATTCCGGACACGGTAACTTAACTAAAAACTTAACTCGTGGATACCTCACAATCGAGTCAAGGTTTGGAGAAGTGGAGAAGTCCCTGACAGCTCAGAACACCCTCAATATCACTGTGAAGAAACAGAGAATCTCAAGAGAATCATGAAAGATAAGTAAATGAGTAATGACTACTCATTCTACTTAGTCCCACCTTCATGCTACCAGATAGTCTCAGTTATTTCCACCTTTCCCTTTGAGATTTGCCACCAGATATTAGAACTCCTCTTTGACGCATACTTGCAGGGGGATTTCGACTATCTGTGGGGTTACATTTGTAGCTTCATAGACTCACGGGGAAATTCTATATCCTGGTGAATAAAATTGTAAATAATTTACTGCATTACAATTGCAGGAATTGCTATGCTCACTCCACTGTTTACAGTGGGACTATATACTGTGGCACCTGCACAGTGGAATTCTGGATAAATAATTCTAGTTGCTCTAATATTGTGCCTGATTATCACCGATATAGCAGGCCTAATAATTACAGGAAAAAAACAAATATGAGGGCCTCGTTGCTCAAACTTTTCTTCCTCTTAATAGTGCAGGTGAATCTCCTGAACCTGATAGCCCAATAGATCTAGCACGTAGCCTTGGCAGTCAATCTAACTTCATGTTATATCTGTACTTCAGATTCGCCATCAGTTGAAGTATTACCACTATCATTAGAAGATTTAGCCAACGTTAACACTGAAGTTACCCTAGTCACTCAGTCCAATGCAACTTATCCCGATGAGCAAGCAAAAAATGTATGTGTCCCAATCATATCACAAGTTACAGAGGATGGCCCAGACCTGAATTTTACAGAAACTGCACCTCTTGTAAGAGTCTTTTGCACTGTACTTCCGAAGCACACATTACCCATTTGTTTCACGTCCTTGAGAACAAAGGGAACTTACCTGGGAACCTTGTCCAACTGCTCATATGAAGTCTTTCTTAGTTGGACAACTCAGGAAACGTAATACAGCTCTTCAAAAAAGAGAGGCAAATGATAAAGTAAGAAAGCAACACCAGTTCCTTCTCCTTAAATACCCAAATTCAAGGTGACCTCAGTTTACTGTAAGACCAACACTTCCTGCATTTCTACGGGTTGGTACTCAGTGTTAATCGATAACTCACCTTTATCCTTAGCCTGAACGTTAGCCTGGGGAATACAAAGAATGTTGTTAAAATTCCACCCCAATCATGTGTTCATCTCCAACGTTTGGGCAGAAGTTGCCTCAATATGGGAGGACCTCACTGAAAACTACCTAAGTGCATGGGACACCCCCAGCCTCCCCCGAAATTAGAGCTGGCGTTCTGGGGATATCACGTGTCCTTAGATCCCAAACAGGAACTATACTTCATATGAAGAAACGTAGGATATGTGAGCTTGCTAAGTCAATGGAGGGAACCTGTGATGTGGCAGCAATATTTCCAAAAGTATCCTATCCCAATGCCTCTACACAATTCCCATTCCTTATAAAACATACCTACGCTGTAGCAAAAAGGGCAGCTCATGTAATTCTACTCCTTTTAGCACCATTGTAACTGGTGCCAAGTCAATGGAGGGAGCCTGTGGTGTTGCAGCAATACTTCCAAAAGTATCCTATGCCAATGCCTCTACACAATTCCCATTCCTTATAAAACATACCCACGCTGTAGCAAAAAGGGCAGCTCATGTAATTCTACTCCCTTTAGCACCTTGTAACTGGACTCCTGGGAACCACCCTCAGGTCCATCTCTCTACATTTAACCTCTCAGCAAACCCAGGCAGTAGCTGAAATTATGGCTGCCACTTAGAAACAACAATGGCAAATAGACTCACTCACAGGTGTCACCTTGCAAAATTGAAGAGGACTGGACCTCCTAATGGCAAGTCAGGGAGGAAAGTGTTTTTCTTAAGAAAGAGTATTGCTTCTATATTAATGCTTCTGGTAAAGTACAGCAACATCTAACAGAGGCAACCAATATTATCACCCACTTGCAGCAGTACAACCCGTCTAAATGGCTCACAGGTATCAGACAAACTCTACTGTCAAGGTTATGTCCTATAGTGCCCCCACTGATAATGGTAGTCTTCATACTCATATTTGGACCCTATCTTCTAAACCTCCTTGTGAAGTTTATCTCTTCTCGCCTAGAAACCATCAAGTTTCAGATGGTGCTGCAAATGGAGCCAAAAATGAAACCACCCTTCTACAGGGAACACTTAGATCCACCCGGAAGGAACCCTGGCTGCTGTTCCCATACAATGCCCCTCTCCAGCAGGAAGTAGCCAGAAGAAGTCGTCACCCAAGTCCCCCTAACAGGAGTTAGGGATTTCATTCCTGAGGGGAGGGAATATGTTATAGGAGATAGAAAGAAATGATTTCGGTAGATAGGTAGGGTAGAGAGAGTTCCCAGCAGAAAACTTTCCTTCTAACAAAAGCAGGTCAGAAATAGCTCCCTTTCTAACCTCAAGCAGTTGAAAGAAATCACTTCTCTTCTAACAAAGAACAGCCTAGAAGATCATGCTGTAAAACATAGATAAACAATTCGGGCACAGAGCAGGGTTTTCTGGGTAATCACCAAAATTCACATATGTGCAATGGGCCCCAGTAAAAAGAGTGGGCCCTAATAAGCACATTCGTTTACTACAACTTGGCAACCCATTCAGGACCTCCTTCTGTGACAGATAGCTGTTCTTTCCTTTTGCCTGTTAAACTCCACTCTAATCTCAGCATGTGTGTGCATCCACTTCCTTGATTTCCTCAGCTGTGAGGCCAAGAACCTTGGTATTTATTCCCAGACAACAAAGCCATTTTATTTGAGTTCTCCTTAAGCTCTACCTATCAGCAGAGAGGATGCACTTTGAGCTATTTTCCATTATGCAATAATAATGATAAATCCAAACATATAAATAGAATTTACTGTGTCCCTGGGACTGTTCTAAGCACCATATACATAAATTTACTTCTTTCCACAAAACCTTGAGGTAGATATAATTATTCCCATTTTACAGATAAGGAAACTGAGACTCATTTAGTGAATTTCCTGAGGTCAGTTGATAAATGTTTCCAAATGCTCCTTCAGGGGAGGGCTGAAGATTCTAGCTAACATAGTGACTGGGTGGTCAAGTCTGTCTCGTTTTAAAAGTCCATTTTGCTGTAGATCTAAAACTATTAATATGTTGTCTAATCGGTTGTGTCACTCATTAAAGCAATATTGTTATTTTCCAAATAATTGTCTCTTGAGTCTTATGTCTAAATTGCTCTATACTCAGAAGTACAGAGCCACAATAAGCCAGGCTTATTGACCACCCAAGTCTGACATTTAGAGGCCAGAGCTCAGGAAGAGCAACACACATAGAAAATGAGTTTTCAGTGCTGAGTAGGAACACCTCACCCCTCCAGAAACAAAAGACCCACACAAATGTTACACTTTCCGAAGAGGACATTTTAAACCAGTTATGTCCTATTGAAATATCTGCAGTGATAGATGTGTTCTACATCTGTGCTGTCTAATGCAGCAGCCACTAGCCACATTTAGCTACTGAGCACATAAAATGTTGTTAAGGCAATTGAGAAGCTAATTTTTACTTCAATTCAATGTTAATTAACTTAAATGTGAATGTTCCTCCTGAAGGGGCCTGAAGATACCAGCTAATACAGTGACTGGATAAACAAGTCTTGTCTAGACCCAAAAGTTCATTTTGCTGCAGTGCTACTATATTGAACAGTGCCATTTTGTACCTTCATCATATTTCTCAAACTACTTTTGATAATCCTTTTACTCTCATCAAATACACATTAGATTAGAATTCCCTCATCTTTTTTCCTAGAGATTGATAAACCTCATTCATACCCATTTTTACTACCATCACTTTGATCTCAAAAACCAAGGGATCTTTTCTAGTCTAAATCTAATTTTTCAGCTGTGCTATGGATTTCATGTTTTTGTGCCTTCTCAGAGACCTTCCTCATTTTTTTCTCTCTCTCATCTCTGTGTTAGAGAAGATTTTAGCCAAAGGATAGAGACAGGAAAATGTTGGGCTAATTTGTCTTTTTGGGGCTGGAAATGTGATTTCTACATTCAACATACTGTTCTCAGGTATGTTAAGATGCATATATATGGGATGTTATCTAATACTATGGGCTTTTGTTAAAAAACAAGTATGTGGGATGTTATCTAATACCGTGGGCTCTTGAGAGGTAGAGTCATAGACTTTATCTTAAAATGACCCCAAAACTCCATGTACGTTATTGCTGACCCTTAAACATTATGATCTATACATTGTTTTAGATCATCCTCTGTTCCCACTGGTAGAATCTGTTTTTATGGCAGGTATTTTAAGGAGCCTCTAGCCACATCGAGTCTGAATTAAATGATCAGCCAGTTGGTGTCAGTCTTTCAGGGAGTCTTCAATGCTCTTTTAGGGCAGATATATATTTCCACTGCCCACACTTACTAGAGCAAAAACCAGATACATCATATGAACTAGATCCTTGAAGGATATGTCCACGAAAACAAATCCTCCAGGGAGGATTACAGAGTTACTTCTTTCTCTGGGGCCAGAATTTTTATGTGACCAACACCCCATGGGCATGATTGTAGCAGGATATTAAATGGAAACTTTTGAACGAAGCAACAGAATACAGAACGAAGCAATACAATACAGTGAAGGAAGTTCTAGACCATATGCAGAATTCCATAGAAAACAGCCAAAACTCATTTATAAAAACCTCAAACTCCCACACTCACATCAGGGTTATGAACAGGTAGAAGAATGGAGAGTCAGAGGATTTTGTGAAGAAGTTCTTGGGAGACAATTTGGTGGATTGTGGTGACCCGCACACCTACCCTCAATCCCCCTTACCTCTTTCTCTGCCCTCTCCCCTGCACACAGGAAAGACTGAAAACCGCAGAATGATAACAAGCTGGAAAAGCAGGAAACAACAGGGCAAAGGAAAAGGAAGACCACATTCCCCTTCCCTCGGTCAGTAGCCAGCTAGATGAAGGCTTCCACTGATGGAGGTGAGATGATTCTATGTTGAAGTCAAATTTTGAGCTGAGATTATTATCTAGGGCATATTACATGTCTGGCTTAAGACTTTGTTTGCCACTTTAAAAGGTCAGAGAACTGCCCAGGCACAGTGGCTCATGCCTGTAATCTTAACACTTAGAGAGGCCAAGATGGGAGGATCAAGTGAGCCCAGGAGTTTGAGGCCAGCCTGGTCAATATTGTGAGACCCCATCTTTATAAAAGAAAAAAATATTTTTAAATAGAAAAAAAGAAAAGAAAATTAAACTGCTAAAACTTAAAAATAAAATAAGATAAAAGATGTGAAGATTTTTCTTTTAGAAGAGTAACGAGACAGATGGTGTCATGAAAGCTGGGTTTCATCCAAACACTGTCAGATGTTTCCATTAAGGTAAGTGCCCTTCAGAGTTAGCTGTGGACAGTTCTGTGGTCTACGATTACTACGTTGGTGGTCTCAGTACAATCAAGGATAGCTCTGCCTTTCATTCTCAAAGAGTATGTCATGTTGGACAATAAATTTTATAGTCAGTCTGTTTTGGGCATATGTCTTGTGGAAGTCGGTGAATTTACAAAATGGCAGATCCATTGGAAACCCAATGGCCAAATCACCAATTTGTCTTTTCCTTTTAAGATTTCACTGGCTTTAATTTTATTTTCAAAACAGCATTATGTTTTGCTTGCCAAAGTAAGTAAGAGGAATTAAATTTCTACAGACAGGGGTAGGATTACTCCCACTGGGCTGATTTAATAGGACAGCAGAAGACCAAAGTAAAGTTGTTTTTTAGATTATATGGTATGAATCCTCCATATTCAAAGTACCAGTTATATAGTCATAGTCCCCAGGCTTTCCCAGACACCTTCCTGTCAGACCTTGCCAAGTTCCCTGCTGCAGCATACTCTAGGCAAAAACCTAGCATCTAATAAAGCCTCACAGAAAAACATGCCTCTCTGAGAGCAGAAGATAATTCAGGTGAAGGCACACAGTGCTACACAGCAGAAGACTACGTTCATGATCTACACCAAATGTGTGGTATTATTGATCTCATCACTTTCTTGCCTAAATTCACCTACTTTGTATATTAACCTTGTTTTTCTTCACTATTATCCTGTTTTGGATACTAGCTCCTATGTTCTGTAATGGACACACAACTTCAGTGCCTGGCTAGATTATGGGCTTAAGGAGCATGACAAGGGCCTGCTTCCCTCCTCAGACACACTCAAGATCAGTCACATTATGGTGGAGAGAGCAAGGGCAAGAGAGCGATTGTGTCCTTCCTGGCAAGCCAGTCTCCTGGAGGCTCTGGGCTGTAGGTTAAAAGGGGTCTGTGAGATGTGTTAAACTGCTAGATTCAAATAATCTTTACAGCCATCTTTGTTTAACTCTTTATTCTTCTGGTAACCTCTTTGTAATAATTTTCCAATCCGGGCCGGGCGCGGTGGCTCAAGCCTGTAATCCCAGCACTTTGGGAGGCCGAGTCGGGCGGATCACGAGGTCAGGAGATCGAGACCATCCTGGCTAACACGGTGAAACCCCGTCTCTACTAAAAAATACAAAAAACTAGCCGGGCGAGGTGGCGGGTGCCTGTAGTCCCAGCTACTCGGGAGGCTGAGGCAGGAGAATGGCCTGAACCCGGGAGGCGGAGCTTGCAATGAGCTGAGATCCGGCCACTGCACTCCAGCCTGGGTGACAGAGCAAGACTCCGTCTCAAAAAAAAAAAAAAAAAAAAATAATAATAATAATAATAATTTTCCAATCCAATCTCATCAGATTTTGCATTCATTATGTATCTATTTACACTTTTGGCCCTATGAAATGTTGTTTTTTCATCCCACCTACAGATCTCAGAACTATCTTGGCTAATACTGCTTCAGAATCTCTACTTACTCTCAAATAACCTATAACCCAGAGGTGCATTCCCATGATCAGGGCTGTCACACACTTTTCTCACCTATGCCTCAAAGACAAGATCTGAGCTGAGTCAGGGAGGCACAGCAGGCAGAGAGACGTAAGAGAAGACAGCTTCAAGAAATGTGAGCATTTTCGGAACTGCTGTAACATAGGGTGGATGCAAAGGTAATGCATTCAATACATTTTCCTCACTTGAATTTTGTTTATTTTCAGTTCTGTCTGAAGCCAGGATTTATGTTCCCCTTTTTCTAAATTGTAGCTTACAGGCCAGCTTTCAGTGGCCTTTCTATTTGTTGGCTGTAATTCAATCTTGAAGTTACTAAAATTGATTTTCCTTTTCCAAGAAAAATATATTCTTTTTAATAATGCAATATGAAAGTTAAACAAAGGTCAACCAGTAATTGAATGGCTTTCTGAAATAACCAGTTAGAATGTAATGGCTGGCATCATTTCCAATTTGTGAAAGAAGCAATGAAAACTGATGTTTTGTGGTTTGTTTGCTGGATGAGAGAAAATTATGTTTACACTGCTTTGTTAAGAGTAATGATTGAGGGAAAGCACTTATAGGAAGTACTTTATTTTCCTCTAGATTCCAATTTCAAAGATATCAAGGTCATTCCTAGTTCAATTCTCTGAATTAAATGATGATGGTAATCAGTGGATTATTTATTGCTTGTATCATTGGAGATGTAATACTTGACTGCTGGAGTGAGGAAGATGCTTTGGCCTCATTGGCCTGGAGTCTTTTTGTCAAAGATAATCTGGTGCTCTGATGGAATTAAACAAGAGCATTTCAGTATTTCTCAGGGATCACATGATCAACTCACTTTCCAGCAACAACAACAAAACTGAATTTGTTGAATGAATCTTGTCTACAGATAAAAATGGTGGTCCTGCTACCTCTATCCATTCTTTCCCTGTCTCCTGGGAAGTGTCAATTTAAGGAAGGGTTGCTGATTTGTTTGTGTATTGAAAGCAGCACAATTTGACTATGTAGCCAGCTTTTTCCTGAGTTGGTGAATTTAAAACCATACTAGAATCTTCCTTCCTTCCTTCCTTCCTTTGTTTCTCTCTCTCTCTCTCTCTTTCTTTCTTTCTTTTTATGAATTTTCACTCTTGTTGCCCAGGCTGGAGTGCAATGGTGCAATCTTGGCTCACCACAACCTCCGCCTCCCAGGTTAAAGCAATTCTCCTGCCTCAACCTCCTGAGTAGCCGGGATTACAGGCATGTACCACCATGCCTAGCTAATTTTGCATTTTTAGTAGAGACAGGGTTTCTCTATGTTGGTCAGGCTGGTTGTGAACTCCCGACCTCAGGTGATCCGCCCACCTCTGCCTCCGAAAGTGCTGTGACTACAGGCGTGAGCCACCGCACCCGGCCTAGAATATTATAAGCAGAGGATTAGATTATTTTTATCATGCAGTACAGCTGTCAAAAGAAACAGAGATGGAAACAGAGATGTTCAGCTCAGCTGTCTTGTTGCCTGCTTGCTTTGCTGGTATCACTGTCAAACCTCAGTTTCTTTGGAGTAATCTTTTAAAGCTATTTGTACATATTGTGAGAACTGTTTTAGTTAAAACCTGGTTGTCAAAGCCTTAAATCCACTTGAGTCACCCTTAAACTTTAGTGTATTGAAATATACTTCTGTGCCCTCTGTGCTGTGGAACCATCATTCTTCCCTCTAGAATACCTCTCTTATTGTAGGAAAGCCTTAATGAACCTCATGGCAGAATTAGGGTACAGAGTCAATCCATGTATTTATTGTTAGTAAATCTTCCCTCCCCCAAAAAAATCCTAATTAAAATATAAATATAAATATAAATATAAATATAAATGGAAGTTCTAAAATTTCGTCTTACTCAGTGGCTTGTCACTGAGTGGATGTGTTTATTTGGATGAACATACCCAAAGTGTTTGTGTTCTCTGAGCTTTCTGCTTTGTATCTACAATTTGCTATCGGTACTTTTGGGAAGTTCTTGACCATTATTACTTCAGCTATTTTTTCTGTTCTATTCTTTCTTACTTCTTCATTTGATATTCCAATTACATATATGTTGTACCTTTTGAAATTATTCCACAATTCTCAAATACTCTATTCCTTTTTTGTGTGGTATTCTTTTTTCATTCTTTCTTCACTTTGCATTTTATTTGTGGAAATTTCTATCAATAGCTCTTCCGTTTATCTTTCTTCTACTATCTAGTCTACTGATAAGGCTATCAAATACTTTTCATTTCTGTTACAGTGTTTTTCATTTCTAGCATATCTTTTATATTCTTTCTTAGAGCTTCCATCTTTCTTTTTACATTACCCATCTGTTCTTGCACGTTGCCTACTTTTTCCACTAGAGCATTTAATATGTTAATCATAGTACTTTAAATTCCCTGTCTCATACTTTGAACAACTTTGTAATCTTCTTTGTAATCTCTAAATCTAGTCTGATGCTTGCTTTGTTTTTTCAGACTTTTTTTCTTGACTTTTAGCATGCTTTGTAATTTGTTGCTGCTGTTGTTAAAAACCAGATAGACCTAAAGAAGACCTATTTTCCTGTCTTACTGTTTGACACATTATCTGATACATAGTAAGACAGGTAAATAGGTCTTCAGGGTGAAGTTTTGTGTTAATTTGACTAGGAATTTGGCTGTGTTTAATGTCTTCTGTAGCTGTAAGTGCTAGAGCCTTCACATTAGTCTCATATCCTCTTTTTTGTTTCCCACATTGGCTTTGGGGCTCTGTAAGGGTACTACCAAAATGGCCTCATTGTCTGGGGTAAATACCAAGGTTCCTTGTCTCATGGCCAAGAAAATCAAGGATGCGGATGCACACATACAGTGAGATTGGAGCAGTCATTTCATAGGCAAAAGGAAAGAACAGCTCTCTGTCACAGAGAAGGGTCCTGAATGGGTTGCCAAGTTCTAAAAATGTCAGGGTTTTTATAAATGGGCTCGTGAGGAGAAGGTGTCTTATCTTCCTAGGGCTGAAGAACTGGTTAGGGCCAGGTGTGCTCTCTGCATAGAGTAGAGTCTCTATCAGCCCCCACTCCATTCTTTGATCATTTAGGCAGACTCTTAGTTTATGCTGCTCT